AGAGAGAGAGAGAGAGAGAGAGAGAGAGAGAGAGAGAGAGAGAGAGAGAGAGAGAGAGAGAGAGAGAGAGATGACTGAAAGCAGATGGGGTGTGTCCTCGCTGGTGCACCCACGAACTGTTGAAATTCGATCCCAGACGGGGCGTAGCTTAGCTGGCACAGGAGAATGAATATTCCGCTAGAGCATTTCCACGTGGCAATAAGCCAATGATTACGACCGGCGAGGCCAGATCCATCCTGCCCCCAACCATTGCCACGTGGGAGCAATCCAAAGGGGATCGAACAGGAATGATCCATCCTGCCCCCAAGCATAACTACGTTGGAGCTAGACAATTACGTTCAATGAGGTCATACCCATCCTCAGAAAGATGATTGTGGATGTGGAGATCGTCGTCGACTGAAAATACATAAAAAATAAAAAAAATTATCGTAGGCAAAGAAAAAGTTCCTTCGGGATGAATATGGAACAATACATGGAAGAAAAGTATCTCTCTATCTATTCCTCTTAATCACCCTTTCTGTCTTTCCCCCATCTGACACAAACACATTGTAAGACACACAGATACACATAGACGACGGTGCGAGATCTTTTCTCCTCTCTCTCTATATCCTTGGATTTGTCGTTTTTTTTTTTTTTTTTTAACATCTGCTGGCGCCCCTGATTTGTCGGAATCTGTGCGAGCACGTTGCCATAATTTTGCGTCACGACAATATAACACACCTTTGTGAACATTCAGAGATAGATGAAGCCAAAAAAAAAACAAAAAAAAACAATCCATGTGCTATGACATCTGCGCAGTCATCATATACCCAACTGAGAGGTACTTCAAGATTCCTAGTGCCTGCATGCACACATGCATAAAGAACTGTGAGGTACTTGAAGACCTGTCAGTGGACGGCCTCATGACGTGGCTGAAAAGAAAGAGACAACAGGCACACACACACACACACACACACACACACACACACACACACACACACACACACACACACACACACACACCTTTCTGACATAGCGCAAGGCAGGTTCACCTACGCATTGTACATAGAACAGCCAAAATCAAGAAACATGTGATGTAACCACCAAAGATGTGATCGAACCACCAAGCATGGTACTCTTATTCCATCCACTGTGGTGACAACGAGCGCAGGGAAAAATTAGGTAGGAAGGAAATAAAAAGAAAAGGAAACTTTCATCCGTGACTTTGTCACTTTATCAATGTACTCATCATCATATCGTTCGGGGAGATGAGTGACAGGCGAAGATGCTCATCCCACAAAATGAGAAAGACAAAGACAAAACCTGAAGAAAAAAGAGAACACTCATGACAGTCATCTGATTTTCCCCGTAATACGGGGACAAAAACGATATGTCACAATAGTTAAGACAAATGTGCGAAATGAGGAGAGTTTTGGCTGTCCCTCGTGACAGGACGAAAGAGAAAACTGGAAAAAAAAAAAGAAAAAAAAGAATCCCAGAAAAAAACAAAGAGTTCCTGAAACAAACTACCGTCTTTTTTTTTTCTTCTTCAAATGTGCCTATTTACAGAGTCTTGATTGTTACAGCAGCGCGGCATGTTGACGGCCATTGTCCCACGGATGCCTCTGGATTCAAAACAACCCATGGCCAAACATGTCACTAACTAACGGCCCAGCGGGCATGTCACTAAACCGATGGCCATATCACCAGCCGATCGTGACACTAAACCGATGGCCAAACATGTCACTAACTAACCTCCCAGAGGGCATGTCACTAAACCGATGGCCATGTCACCAACCGATGGTGACACTAAACCGATGGCCAAACATGTCACTAACTAACGTCCTTGAGACATACAAAAAGGATGGCGAAGACGAAGGCAGAAAAATCGAACTTTTGTGAGCTACCTAAACCGACCGATAGTTGCACTTGCTGCTACGAAGTATCTTAAAAGGTTCTTTTTCAATGCTGGCAACCCCCTATTGAGTTGCGTTGCGGTCTGCCAGACTCTTGATAACATCGGCGAGCAAAGAGTACCCTGCACGGGTTTCAGTAGCCATCCTCTCAGCTCTGAGATCCCTAGCTGCCGTGTCCTTCTCCATTGCCTCACACGTCATTTTGGCGATTCTTTCTTGTGCGGCAATCTTCTTTTCGCAGATTTCACGCATGATCGCATGGTGCTCCTTATCTGACCTAACCTGCGCAGTGGTGTGGTCACGCATTGCTCCGCAAATTGCACCCATGGCCACTTCCCTTGCATTAGAACCACCCCTTCGACGCTTTGCGGCCATGTTACCCTGGACTGCATTGGACCTTGCACAATCTGAAGGACCTGCAGTGTTCGTCCTATTGTCCTGCGGCTGTGACGACGTTCCTGAACCCGCACCATCATCACCGCCTTTTCCTGCCTCGGCACTTTTGTCTGCTCCGCCATCGCCCACCCCCACATTCTCTGTCTCAGCGCCGAGATCTGTGATGTCGTTCATATTTATCGCGTCTTTGTCCTTCTCGTGCTGGTCAATAAAATCGTACCACTCTCTACGCATTAGGAAATCCAAAACCCATCTCTTCCTTTCCGTCTCGTTCATGGTAAAGTACTTCTGCTTGCCGGACCACTTATCATGATCCTTCACAGCCCTGTAGTTGTTAAGCACGAAGTGCCACCAGTTCTTACACTCCTCGTCGGATCGGTCGTAACTGGCCTCCCTCACCAGCTTCTCTACGTCAGGCCACAACCGCTGCTTCAGTTTTGCCACCCCCCATGCTTCTGAATCATCGTCGTGAGTAGCCTTGACTTCGTACCAGCAGCGTATGAGTTTCATCGTCTCCTCCTCCCCGAATCGTGGATGAGGACGTTTGCCCCTGCCCCTTCCTGCACGTCCGCGGGCAGGTTGTCCGCGGCTAGTTTGTCCTCTCCCCGCTTCATGCCCACTCCTAACACCGCCACCTCTTGCCAATGGAGCAAGTGTGGAGGTTCCCCCACTTTCACCCATGGTCTGCGGACTGCATTCAAGTGCTTGGACTTCAGCTGCAACTGCGGCATCACCCCCAGTCGTCGGTCTGCATGGCGGTGCTTGGAGTTCATGATCGTGTGAACGGGCACCAGCTTGCGCTGTCCCACCTGCAGTTACTGCGGTGACATGCTCTGCAGGCTATCACCTTCCAATTTTCGGCAAGCCTTCCCCCACCAAGACATGAAATCGGCACAAAGCCAACATTCCTACTCACACTAAAATCAAGAATGGAGGATAGCCTAGCCGAAGATTTACCCACAGAAGGCTGAAAAACCAGGTGAGTACAAGCAATTGTATCGTAAGCAGAAGAAGAACCGTTGTCGCGCTTCCGGCGCCGACGCTCCTTCAGGCCAGGTCTACGCCTACGGCCCTTACGAACCATGTCCCGGCTATTAGGGTAGGGATTAAACAAGCCAATAGCAAATCGTTGCGGATGGAGCAAATCCTCACTCCCACAGCAGAATAGAGGAACAGCAACATACCCATCAATCTGGTCTTAGACGTAGCCAAGAATACAGATGTTGGTTCCGCCTACCTCCCTTAATAACCCCAGGGTTCGTAGCACGGTACACATGTTCTCCCCATCGAATCGGGAGAGATCGACTAGTAGATCCGATATAAGTGTGATTGCACCAAGGGGAGAGCACGGCGTAAACCAGGGGCCCATTGCAAGATTCGAAGTCAAAACCACAGTTGAATAGATTAATCAAATAACCCTTGAACTTATTTGCCTAAGGGATTTCATCACGGAGAATGAGTTCGATAACAACCAATCGGAAATAGGGGTTAAAGACCTTGTCCTGAAGATGGACAGCAGCAGATATATGAGGATGGCTATCGGATGCAGAAAGGAAAGGATCATCAGGAGATGAGGACAGAGATAGAGAGAGGGAGGAAGAGTCGGAACGAGGGGTTCGTGAACGCTTCACTCTACACTCGTTAGCCAACCGCCAAAGATTCGCTACGTTCAGGACAACACCCTATTGTTCCATAGAGAGCCCATCCTCGTTGTCATCACCACATACCTCCTTGGACGAATCATCATCGACCTCGACGAAGGAGCAAGCTTCCTTGGCATCGCCCCCCTCGCCAAAGGAGGATCCCAACCTGATCTTGGCACGATACTCCGCAAGCTCGCATATGGTGTCCTCGAATCTGCCGAGCTTGATACCGGCCTCCTTACACAGGGGTTCCAAACCCGCCTTCCGTAATAGCCGAAGTTTGTTCTTCTCTCCATCAACGAAACTAGCATGATCATTAACTTCGGCCACCTCCTGAGATGCACCGGAGCTGGGGGAGCGACCTGCAAGTCTGCCCGGCGTCACTTTAACTCCTTTACGGGCCGATCGCAATGCAACCTCCTCCATGCGATCCTTCAAATTAGTACCTCCGCCTTTCCCACCCTTCTCCCCACTCGCAGTGAGTTTGCTCATCTTCTCTTCAAGCTTTTTCACCTGCAGCTCAACTTCCATGCGTTTGGCTTCAGCTTCAGCACGTTTTTTCTTCAGAGCCTCAGCTTCGACGTTTGCCAACTGGTGGAGGTTGCGAAGATTTCGATACTCCTCCCGCCATTTATCCGCATCCCGCATAGTATCCGTCCAGCGCGGTTTCGGAGTGCCACGCGCCGGTCCATCCGGAGTGCAGACAGCAACACTACCCCGCTTATTGCCCGACCGGAGAGCCTCATCCTTCCATTGATTGGCCTCCGCAGTCACCCTATCCTTCCGCCCTTGTAACGAACTGATCTCCTTCTTGAGATTGGCCACCTCCTTCTCCAGGTCTAGTTTAGAATTTGACAATCGCTTCATCTCATTAACCTCCAACTTCAACGCGAAGATGGCGTCCTCGCTAGCCTGCTTCGAAGTGACTTGCTTCCGTAATTCCATAATTTCCTGTGGTAGATACATCACCTTGTCGTCACCAGACTTATTCAGAAAAGAATTGATCTTAGCCTTCAGGTCACCGTTCTCACGCCTTAACTTAGTTAACTCGTCCTCCGAGCCATTTGTCAAGGGTACTTCGCTAGTACTCTTCCCTTTGATAAAGGCCCCAAGCTCATCAAGCTTCTTCTCCAAACAAAGGCCCATATCAGCTTCAAACTTCTCCAACTCTCCCTTCCATTTCAAGCGCTTCCCCTCCTCCTCCCTTTCGATCCTCAGACGCTCCTCTTCCCTATTTTTTGCCTCCTTTTCACAATCCTCCATCACCTTACTGTAACATAAGTCCGGCTTCTCCTGATTCCGAGTCCACCAATTAGGACGATTCTGGCCATGATTGGAGGCAGCAACAGAAGAAGATTGATGCTGGTTAGAGCTAGCTGGAGCACGGTTAGCCGCCGAAGAGGCAGCCGAGGAATTATTCACAGGCAGCAGAGCGAGGATCGGAGTGCTAGTGGGGATAGCATTAGCCCCAGTCGCAACAGGCCAAAACGCACACTGCGGATAGTCACGAATCCAATTATTAGGGGCCCCACACTGGTAGCAACCATTATCTCGTGGAGGATAACCTGCCATCACGGGAAGACAAAGTCGATCAAAGAAATAATGGAGAGAGAAGGAACAAAGAGAAAGAACAATCAAACGGCCCAAGCCAATCGCTCCTTCCGAACATACCAATGGTCAAACGTGTCAGTGTTGGGCACAACTTTTCGGAATGCCCCTACCGGACCAGCAGTCCTATTTCCCCTGCTGCCTGTCCCATTTGACCTTCTGTGGGGGATGCATCTTCCTGAGATGCCCTCCAGCAGGCAGGCACTAAGAATTTGAATTCAAACCCCATACTTTTCCGGACCGCAGCGCAAAAAAAAAAGTTGCACTCCATGTCGTGGCCGCTGCTGAAATCCACCGTGTAGTGCATTCTTCAGCTACAGCGCAAAAAGAAAAGTTGCACTCCATGTCGTGCCCTGTCAGTGTTGGGCACAACTTTTCGGAATGCCCCTACCCGACCAGCAGTCCTATTTCCCCTGCTGCCTGTCCGATTTGCCCTTCTGTGGGGGATGCATCTTCCTGAGATGCCCTCCAGCAGGCAGGCACTAAGAATTTGAATTCAAACCCCATACTTTTCCAGACTGCCGCGCAAGAAAAAAAGTTGCACTTCATGTCGTGGCCGTTGCTGAAATCCACCGTGTAATGCATTCTTCAGCAACCGTAACCACGCAAAAGAAAAAGTTGCACTCCATGTCGTGGCCGCTGCTGAAATCCACCGTGTGTTCTTCAGTTACTACGACCCATGGACGTCTGCGGCCCTTGTTCCACGCCTCTTTCTCTCTCTCTCTCTCTCTCTCTCTCTCTCTCTCTCTCTCTCTCTCTCTCTCTCTC